TTTTGGTCTAATAAGTAATATCTCTGTCTTATCCGAGTTTAATAGGAGAAAATTATTGGTCATCCAATCTTTTACATTTTTAACACATTCTGTTAGCTTAGATAATTTAGAAGTTTCATCTGGTCTTGTTGAGATATATAGGTGAGTATCATCAGCATAACAGTGGAAACTAATCCCGTATTTTCTAATGATATTACCAAGGGGCAACATGTATATTGAAAATAGCAGAGGACCTAGGACAGATCCTTGTGACTCTCCATACTTTACTGGTGATAATTGAGATGACTTCCTGTTTAAATAAACAAAGTGGTAGCGATCGGACAGGTAGGATCTAAACCATCTTAAAGCCGCCCTTGAATACCTGTATAGTTTTGTAATCAATCTATCGAACAGACTTGACTCGAACAGACTTGACGTAGCATGAACAGACTAGACTCACCGACAGCATGTACATACATTTATACACGACAAAGAACAGTGGGAACATGAGGGCTATTTGTAGCAAACACTATGGGTCACATCACAAGAATCAACCAATGAGCAAACAGAACTGAGAACCACATGACAGGACAATAACCAATTAAATCAGTGTTGAAAACACACCTTTACTCTGTGGCATACAGTTGCCCCTATCTTTTGGGACATTGATCAGTGATGGATATTGTGTGTATTGTGTTTGTTTGATTAATTTTTAGACATGTAAAGCACTTTGGTCAACTTGTGTTGTTTTAAATGTGCTGTATAAATAAATGTTGATTGATTGATTGATTGATTGATTGATTGTCTGTTTGTCTGTCTGTCTGTCTGTCTATCTATCTGACTGTCTGTCTGTCTGTCTATCTGACTGTCTGTCCGTCTGTCTGTCTATCTATCTGACTGTCTGTCTGTCTGTCTGTCTATCTATCTGACTTGGCTGGCTGTCTGGCTGTCATCAGTTGGAGTGGTGGAGGGTGTAGGTGGGTTTGGGGGGGCTGCAGGTCATCACGAGCACAATAACATGGACAGTCATAAAGACACGGAGTGAAGGAGGAGGTGGAGGAAAGGAGTGAGGGACAGAGAGAGAATTGAGGAAGGAAAACGAGAGGAATTGTGTCAAGAATAATGATGGGCCAATTGAGAGCGCCTGCAGTCAGATCCCTGTATTTCTGACTGTTCCCGTGCTCGGCAGGGGCTCTCATTGTCTCCCGTAGAGATCACAACTGCACACACACATATACACACACACTGAAACATCAGCTATGTCCGGCTAAGTAGGCACAATGGTCATTTGGTCCATGTCTTGTATTTAATGTGTGTGTGTAATCAAATCTGTTGCACCTTTCCAATCTGTTTATAGTTTGTGTTATCAACAATTTTTTATTCTGCAGAACACAAAATTTTGATAAATATTTTGATAAATCTTCAAACTGTCTGTTTACATACGCCAGAAGTATACAGTGACTACAGGCTGTCAAAAAGTATCATGAAAGGAGTCCATAAAACGGTTATATTTCAAGCCTTGTAAAGCACTTTTCACAATATTTATTGTGCTTTACAGAAAATGTTTCAAATGTTACAATCAAGAAGCCAGAAGTGACTGTATCAAGTAATTATTCTTTGAAAATTAATTTCAGTTGCCATTTCAAGCAAATTTTATGTCACCAAACACCCCACATAATGCACAACCAAACATGATGGTGGACAGAGAGCAAGATTTACATTGTAAAACTCACTCAAATAACAATCCGTTGCTCACTCAAAGCTATCATATTGCTTCAGAAGACTTAAATATACCACACAATCATATGGACTACTTTCATCTACATGTGTCAAAACAGCAGCTTGGAAATTGTGCACAACATCTCCTTCTGTGCTCCACACAAGAAAGAAAGTCCTACAAGTTTTAGATTTCTGTTTTTTGGGTGAACTGCCCCTTTAATAACCTATAAAGACTTTAATAATAAGGCAGTCCACCTTTGAGAATGACCATGTGGTGGTTATCTAGCACATCTCTAATGTGTTGTTTTGTACTTCCTCAGGTTCCTCGTCTTAAAGAGCCCAATCAAGCCACAGTGTTTAGATTGGCTTTCATTTCCCCTGCGAAATGCCTCCCACACGCCATAATCCCGTTATGTAAAGATAAATTACTAATATAGCCTCATAGATCCCACATCTATTAAAATGCACTCTCAGCTGTTGTTCATAGAAGAGGCTAAATACATGATTCCAGTGTTTAAAGCTGCAGAACATAAACCACAGCTCATATTTCCATGTGTACATTTTTTTTATTTATTATGTTTTATTAATACAGAGGAGAACATTTAGAGCTGCTGCTCCTTGGTGTGTCCTCTGAGTGTTTAACAGCTTTTATGATAATAAATTGATAATGATAAACAACTTCCAGCAGCAAAAAAAGTTGCTATATTAAAAATAATTCATGGCGTGGCCTCAACTGCAAGCACTGTAAAGGCGAATTCACACAGAGGGCAAATATTCAGCATGGATGAATCTATGAAACTATTCATACTGGAGATTAAACTTTGCCTGATTATGGAAGGTTTTTCCAGTTTACTCTCATTGTGAATAGACCTTTTGTCTGTGCTTTGTCACTGAACCGTTTCATACTTGTTGTGAACAGGTCTTAATGCTGTGTCCAAATACTCATCCCCTCATCTTTATTTTTCAACTCAACGGTCTGATGATTACGGTTCACATCTTCATTGCCAGACTGCAGTGGCTGACCACAGGTTTACACTGCGTGTTTTACGCCCGTGCCAAATCATGCATGTTTGCGGAAACCTAATCCACCTTGACTCATTGTGATGTGAGTCACTGGTCAGCGAGTTCAGAGAAAAGTCCAGTACTTTACAAAATCCTCCAAATTTTATTCTGATTTCTGACAGTTTGAGTGAACACGGAGGACTCTAATTGGTTCGGTCTGATCTGTTAAGGACATGAACAAGCCAATCAAAGTGTTAGATGACTGGCCCCGTTTAATTTGTTCCATTTGATTGGTTAAAGTCATTAACTAGCACATCAGATGACGAGGTAGACAGAGGAAGGAGATGCTAGAGGGCAGGATGTGGCAGCGCTAATGAACCCGCTACATCAGACTAATACTCATGTAAGTGTCAGAGGGCACTTCTCTGAGTCTGCGCTCCAATACAGGAACAAGTTAAAGGTGGTCATCTCACTAATGGGTGTCATCACCACATGCAATCCAGAAAAGTTTCCCTGACTAAAAGCACTGAACTTTAGAAAACTGTTTAGCCAAGGCAAGCCAAGCCCCCTACATCAATTTAGGGGACTTATGCAAACTAATCTAATGTCGAAGTTTGTTCAAAGAAGCAATATGTGACACACTCTATAATTTTGGCAGATATCACGGTGAGCTGTTTGTGGAGAAATGTGATTATAAGCAAGAAAAACTTGAATTTTGACTGTTATTTTTGATGAATTTGTAGCCTTCATATTGCCCAGTTTATTACAAAATTCAAACAATAAATTTTGTTTTGTCACTCTTTAATATGGTGTGACAGATTGCTGCATTGCTGAAAGTCATTCAATATCCATAGCTTATTAGATATATGTGCGTGTGTGTATGTGTGTAATCAAAATACAGTAAAACAGTAATATTGGGAAATATTATTAGAATTATTATATTAAAAAAACATACTGACCCCATACATTTGATCGGTAGTGTATGTTAGAATAAATCTCCTAAACTCCTAAAAAAAAAAAAAGTCTGAAAAAGAGGCCATTGTCTCAACAATTATTATTAATGATGTTGAAATAATCATTGAATTATTACATATTTAATTATTTTATTTAATTTTCTTGAAATCTTGAAATAAATATATTTGAGTCAAAATGACTCAAAATGATGGAGCAGGTCACATATATGGAGTGTCTTTATATATCTGTTGAATTGATCAAATTTTTCTCTGTTTTGCAGGTGCTGGAAACAACACACATCCCAGAATTCCCCCTAGAGGTCCTGGTGGAGAAAACGGCCCTCTCCCCCCCTCCAACATCGCTGTTATCGCAGGTGCAGCAGGAGGTTCAGCTTTCCTACTGCTTGTCACTGCTGTGATCTGCGTGGTGTGCTACCGACGACGACACGCCAAGCATTCTGAATCACACCACCCTCCCCTCTCCCTCTCCTCCCTGACCTCGCCCAAACGGGGCTGCGTCGGGGGTGTAGGAGGCGGCAACAACAACGGCTCGGAGCCTAGCGACATCATCATCCCGTTGCGGACTTCTGACTCCGCCTACTGCCCGCACTACGAGAAAGTGAGCGGGGATTACGGCCATCCGGTCTACATCGTACAGGAGATGCCCCCTCAGAGTCCCGCCAACATCTACTATAAAGTATGAGAACCGGAGACAACCTTACCGACAACATCTGCTAAGACCACACCACACCGACCTTAAACAACGACCTAAATCCCACCCCCAAAGTCTGCACCCCAATAGATCAGATCCTTTTACCTTCACACGCATTTCTCCGACACACTGACCGTTCGTGGTCGAGTATGTCTGTGTGTGTGTGTGTTACCATTCTTCGCAAACTCACCCAACTTCGGCCTTTTGTTGGCGAGAGAATGTCCTGATGTGAGGGCCTCCCTCTCTCTGACATCCCACATGGGGAAAAATTCTTAAAGCTAGAGAAGACCTCCTGGAGTGGATCAGCCAACTGAAAAAAACATGAACTCCTTTTTTGGGGGGCATTCTGGAGCACAAGCATCAAAACTTTTTCTGATGTACTTGAAAAACTGAGACTATAAACACACAAAAAAGAAAAGAAAACTCAACCTGTCCAAACCTACAAAGACAACTTTGACTTCGAATGCTACATTTACTCACAAATAGCAGTCTAGTTTGTGTTAAACTCCTTCGAAAGGGGGAGGGGCCATTGATTCAGCCAGTCATCACACAGGGCTGCAGTCACGTGATCTAGGACCCATGTGTTTGATTGGTGGAGTTGTAGTGGCGTGGAGAATCTTGTATATTTTAATAACGTGTGTAGGGGGAGAGAAGGAAAGTCGAAAGCTGATTGAAGGAGAAGAGAGAGAGGGATGGAAAGGTTTTCAATAAACTCGTCTGAAGCTGTGGAAGAGGCAGATTTGGGCCCAATGGTCTTCTGAGGTACAAAGAGACAGATGAGGGGAAGAAAGAAACTCATTCTCTCAGATGGACAACAGGATAGATGGACACAGAATTACTCTTTAAAGACACACAGTGCTCTTTTTTGTTCACATGAAGTGAAGTGGAAATATTTCTAGACTCATTTCAGATTCTTGAGTATCAGACACGTCTCAATTTAGTAGACATGTTCACACACACAGACGGAGAATGACTTGATGGCCATGGCACACAGAAAAGCTCTTGTAGAGATTTTCATCACACACACACACACACATGCACAGCTCCAAAACACAATCAAAAGCCATTCTGATTGGGCATATATGCTGGTTACCTCAACAAATGCCATGATTAGCGTTGTTTTTTCACATTCTCTTTCTCTCCTCTCTCTCTCTCTCTCTCTCACACACACACACACACACACACACACATTCAATCATGCAGCCTTGTAACTAGCTGTGTGTGTGTGTATCTCTGTTAGTGCCAATGAAAACCTTTCTTTTAGGCCTGAAATATACTCTATACAAGTATGTGATCGTAAACGCTTGTGTCAGAACTCAGTTGCATTCTCAGCACATATTAGCATAAACTGTCATCTTGTATGGTCAGTTTTCTCTGACATGGCAGATCAACAGTTTGGGAAAGAATCTTACAAAGCTAGTTAGCTGCTGTTAGTCAATGGCTGAATTTGAGTAGGATACTACTCTTAAAATGTCTGTCATATAGTATGTACTATTTCTAACTTATGCTGTTTTGAAATGTTAGCTAAAGCTATTCAAAGGTTGAATTTAAAACGGCATACTAATAAGCTAGTATACTATTACGAATACAGCCTTTGACTAGCTTTAGCTAATTAGCAGAGGAAAATTAGCTAAATGGCAGAAATAGTAATTACAGAGCTCCATATATGACATGTGGGGGAAAAACAAGATATTGTTGCCACAAATGAAGAATTCGTTCCCACGAGTTCTTAATTTGTGGCCTGGTTTCATTAATTCGCTCTGTTGTTTTAATGATGGTGAGGGAACAAATTAGTACAACATGGCCACTATTAAACTAAAACGAGGGAACCAATTAACAAAAAGTGGTCACAAATAAATAAGTTATGAGAACAAATTACTAATTTGTGGCCATTTTATCTATTTTTTTTCCTGCATGTCATGTGCGAGGCTCCATAGTAAGAATAGTATACTAGTGTGCTGTTCCGGAAACACTTAACTTTACCTAGTAGCAAATAAATAATAAGTAAGAAGCCCCACAGGTGAGATGTGGTGGAAAAAAACAAGAAATCTTATTTGTTGCCACAATTTATTAATTTGTTCCCTCATTTTATTTAAATTGAAACCTATTATGGACATTTTTTAAGAAAAACTAGGGAATGACTATTAATCTGTGGTCGTTTTTTCCCCCCTCCACATATAATGTGCAAGGCGCTGTAGCAAAAGTAGTAAGCTAGTATACTATTCCAAAAAAAATCTACTAAACTTAGCAAGTCACATAAGTTCTTGCACTTGCAATGTGTTGACCAAACATTAGCGTCCACATACTTGCAAAGAATATGTTTCTGGCCTTAGGAGTTCAAATTGTGTTTTGTTTCACTACCATTGTCACAGTGTGTTTTGTATGCGTGTAAAAGAACGTTATCGCTAAGAAATACACCGCATGCACGCACATAATAACAAGCCATTCATACCCAAATATGTTGGTGGTCTTATTTTGCAGATGTGATTTGTGACTGACGTTGGGACTTGAACAATCTGTTACTGTTTTCAATCTGCCTAGAAAGCTTCAATATTTGTCTCTCAAAAGCATTTAGTTTTGTATCACTCTGGTGCATCGAGACTGTGAGAAAAAAGAAACATGACATTGTTTTCCTGTCACATTGATGTTTTCTTCTTACACGCAAATTTGGATTGTGTTACTTCAATATCAAGTTGCCTAAAATGTGGAGGTGTTACGTTTGTTCTGCGCTGTTGTATTCGTGGGCTGTTTCATACATATTTAAGCATTTGATTTCGGTTAAAATTCTGTTGCATTTACTAAAACAATCAGCGTAAGCCATGTCTCTGACCTTGTGCACATGGACTTGGATACATGTGTGTGCGTGCAGGTGTGCGCGTATGTCCGAAACACACGTGGACATCGTTCAAAGATGGACCGACACAGAGGGTGTACTGTTGCGTTCGGATCACAGAGGACACACGAGAAGACACAAACTCTCTCTGCTCACCATTCTCCCTTTTTAGGTCTCGTTTATCGAACATCTGGCCTCAGAAAGGTCCATCTTCTGTCTTTAACATCGAGCGGTTCTTTGTGAACTTGCTTTCGCCACGAACGCTGGGACCAGTATTCTGTACGCAGATACAAGCGGGGACGAACCACAAAGTGTGTATTTTTTAGAGAACGCTTCAGTTGTGTGTACGTGTTTCTCTGTGCCAATAGCCAGCGGGTGGCGGCCACTTTAAAGACCTCCATTCCTCTCCAGTTATGTGTTCAGACGTTTGTAAACCACCATGTTTGTGTGTGCGGTTTTCTTTTCCGTGTCCATCCCTCCATCTTTCTCCCTCACGATCCCTCTCTTGTTTTCCCTCCTGCATACATGCCTTTAAAAGGGTTACACAACTAATACATTCCTTTGAAGAAATGTTGATTAAAAACAAAAAAAATAACTTTACAGTGCATTCTTGGAGTTTCTTTACTGTGTGTGTATTTAATTTTCAAATGCATTGCGTTTTGTGGACTTCCACTGAACGTGCAACTGAATGACATAGAGAAACCATTTAATGTTCTTTATTTTTCTTTCCACTCCACCATCAATCTCTTTTTCTTGGTATTTCATCTTCTCTAAAGTAAACACTAGCTTTTACAGTCACCATCCATTGCCAGTTAAGAAATTAATGTTTTCTTTAAGTGCACAGAAATACCTTTTGTCGTATTAGTTATTCAAGACTGTATCTCACTTTCTCTTTTATTGCTTTCCTTTAGATCCTTCTGTATGTTTTCCGTAATGCCATTTAGTTGCCAAAGCAACCATTGCCTTTTGGCAACAATTTCATTTTTATGAAAACTCGCGAAATCTGGTACTGATTGTCCCCATGAGGTTTCCACACAGTTACAGGTGATGCAGAGACGACGACCGTATTATTGGCCTGGGAACGCTTAAGTCATGCAACAATCCTCTCATTGGTGTAATGTGATTTAGGTGTGAAGGAGAAGGTTCTAGAACACATGGGAGAGAAAGAAAAACACTTAAAATATGTCCTTCTAGGCTTCTGCGGTCATCTTTATTGCGTAATCATTTTTCTAAAATGTGCTTGTACACCTTTAATGACCCAGAGGAGCATTTTATTGCCCACGGCTTGCTCAGGGAATTTCTCAACTGTGTCTCAGATTTTTCTCCTACAGTTTCCGTGGTTAAAAATGAAACCTCAGTAAATTAGACAATTGTTGACGTACAGTCAATAGAGAGATAGAATTCACGTGGATTGCGTAGATAATTAGGTTTTGCAAGAATTTAGTGATAAAATGTGTGATAAAATGAATGTGGATTGTATAGATAAGTATGTTTGGTAAGATTGTAATAAGACATGTTTGAGGTCATAAAAGCTAAAGCAAAAGTCTTCTTTTAATCTCCATTTAAAATCATTGCTGTCTCTGAGAATGCTTTTCTCCCCAGTTGAACTCATAGGACCTCAATTAAATATATGATTAACTTCAAAAAGTGCAACAAATACATCCAATCTGCATTCAAAAAGAAATTAAAAAAAAGCCTTAAAACCCTTTTTAAGTACCCCAGAATTTTAAATAATGCTAACCATTCATTAAAAGGTTATGAATTTTATAGCATCTTCACATTATTTGGAAAAAAAATATTTTGTGATAAAATTGTGCAAGTGTTCAATTTTGATCGTATAAATATGATATATTTAGATAAATAATAGACATTTTATTACGTTTTATTCATTTAATGCATTGACATTTCATCATGCACCCGTGACCTGCAGCTTGCCATCCACTTTAAAAAAAATTGTGTTGAAATCCCACCAAGATACATTTTTAACCTATCTATCATATGTAATACATTTATATTTTATATTCCATATATTTCATCAATATGGGGGGGTCATAAAACTGTATGTTTTATGACTCTCAAAGCCGTGATTCCAATCCACTGACATTATAGGACTGACAGACTGCAACGGTTCGATTTAAAAATCTCCGTTTGTGTTCTACTGAAGAAACAAAGTCACCTACATCTTGGATGCCCTGGGGTAAGCAGATAAACATCAAATTTTCATTTTTGGGTGAACTATCCCTTTAAGCTGTCACTCTTCGCTTTGAGTCGAAGACTCGGAAGTACAAGGATTTGACCTCGCAACAAAATCATTGCTCCATTAATGTGAGTAGATTATTGTGGCGTGAGATAAATGTTACCGCATAAGTAAGTCTTTTAACATTCTTTTAATAGTATAATAATTAAATAAATTAATGTTTGTATGTGTGTGTTTGTGTGTGTGGGCGTGTGTATAATAATTATTTGTAAAAAAAAACCCAGATATTTACCATAATTTATGCTTTAAGTCTTTTTAATATACCATGAATACACACAAAACTGCTTTCTTCCTGATCACAGCTGTGCTTTTCTGTGAAGTAG